GGCTTCCTCCAGAGGCTCCTGGCCTTGGGGTCCAAAGGAAAGTCTGGAGGCAAGACCCAGGGAAGGGGGTGTCAGAAGCTGGTCCCGGTTCCTTGTCCACATAGGGCACCGGACATTTCCCGCCCAACACATGCACACCCCTTTCCTGGAGACACACACACCTAAACCGGCAAATAGACACACCGACCACAGGGCACCCCATGGCCAGACTCACAAACACCGGGTAGTCCAATGCATGTGTAGCCCATTGCTGGACACAGAGACACCCCGACCTCAGACATCCAGACACTTTCGTACCCGCCGCCCAGACATCCAGGCACCTGGACAGCCCACAGCTGGACACAACACAAACACTCTCCTGCACTTGGACACCCATTAATCTGAGGGCTCCCAGACACCTGGATACCCCCACCTCCGGTGACAGAGACGCGAGGATATCCTTCTGTTGGCACACCCCGATCCTCCACATCCTGGCACGTGGAGACCCACACTTACATCCTGAAACACAACCCACCCAAATAGCTCTGCACCCAAACTCCAAGAATTTAACACTTAGATACCCGGATACCCTAGCTTCAGGCTCCTCCAGGACCAGAGCAGCTGGTCGCCTCCCTACTCCAAACTCAGAGCCTGCCACACAGAGTCACCAGATGGCTACATACCCTGACAGGCCACACATGTCCTGTGCCCTGGGCTACCACCATACAACCACAACCATACACACACACATACATACTCCCCACTCCAACTGTCCAGATTTCAGAATCGCACCTGCACACACCTCAGCAGGCTTCACCCCACCTGCAGGGGTAACCACAGGGAGCAGCTCCCCCCACCTCCCTCAGGCTCACAAGGGTCCAGGACAGAAGCTGGGACCTGAGGAAGAGTCTCCCCTTCCTGAGGCAGGGCCCTCCCCCCTCCTCCCCAGACAGTCTCGCTCACTGACGGTTGGAACTCAATGCCTCTCACCAACTGCCAGGCCTCCAGCACAAAGGCCTGTCCAGGGACAGGCCTGGCCAACTGCTGGGGGCGGGGTGGGAGGGAGGTGGGGGCAAAACTTGGAGGAGGGGCTGGCAGGCAGAGACCTGCTCCTTTCCTCTCTCCTGTAGACTTACGCCCCCAACTCACAACTCCCAGATGGCACTCTCTACCTGGCCTTTTCACACACACTATCATCCCGCCCCCCCCCCCCCCCCCCGACAGAATTTTCTAGATTCCTGGAGGGAAACCTCATTCTTTAATCCCTACTTTCAGTGGAATCACTGCGCCCCCATCTGGCACCTCCAGCTCAGAACTTGACCCACTGGACTTCACTCATTCTTTCATGCCATGTCCTAGTGTATGTTACTCAGCACGAGCAGCCCAGGCCTTGTGCCTGGCACTAAGGACTCGGAGGTGAACTAAATTCACAGAGTTCCCTGTCTGAAAGGGAGTGTGGACCAAAAAGCAGTCATTACAATAATTACAAATGGTGTGGAAAAAATCCAACCAATCCGCACCTTCCCTTCCTAGAACAGGGATAACCAAGGAAGACTTCAGGGGCGACGTGACGGCGATGCTGAGACCTGAAGGAGGAGCAGGGATTCCCCAAAGAAAGAGATGGAGTTAGAAAGTACAGAGGCCCAGAGGGGAGCGGGAGGGAAAGGGTGTTGCGGGGGCACTGATAAGTGGGTCAGACTGGCCAGAGCAGAGGGCGGAGCAACAGGGGGCACAAGATGAGAGGAGGCTGGACAGGCGAGCGGGGCCAGAGCAGGCAGGGAGGCCAAGGGAAAGGCACTTAACCCTGAAGGCAGTGGCGAGCCTCCAGGTGGTTTCAAACCAAAGTTCCAAACACGCAGTTTTCATGTTAGGGAGATGCCTGGCACCACGGAGGGAGGGGGGGAGGGAAGAGACTGGAGCCGTTTTGCAGTTGAGAGGTGGCTGAGGATGGAGGCCAGGGGACAGATGAGAGAGATCCTGGCCATGGGTAAGGGCAGGATGCATCAGGATACAGGAAGAGGGCTTGGAGGAAGGGAGGAGGCCGGGGGGAGGGGCACAAAGCAATCCCTGCAAGTCTGGAGCAAGCAGGGTGCCCACCCTGGATTTTCCCTGACACCTGAGCAGGGCAGGAGGCTGCCCATGAGCTCAGTACCCCCATCTCCCCCCCCCCCCACCTCTGGCCACGCTAGGCTTCCTGCAGAATCCCCTCCCCCAGGCCCGGGGAGAAGGACCAGCTGCCCAGACAAGATTTTATTGCCCAACCTGAAACCACTGGGCAGCCTCTCCCTCATTCCTGCTGTCCACAACCCTAGCAACCAAAAGGACAAAGTGAGCTCGCACGCAGAGGAATAAATTACTGCCAGATTTACATGGCTGAGAGACATCGCCCGCCCTGCCTTAGGAGGGAGGAATCGGAAGGCACTCCGGGAGCCAGGCTGAGACTGTACATAGATTGGGGGCCAGGGCTGACCTCACGCCTTCTACCAAGAGCTTCTGAATTAGGCTCAGACGATAAGTAATACATACCTACAAGGATGCCAGAAACTTAAGAAGTGAAGTGACCTGCCCAAGGTCACAAAAACAGCAAGTGGTGGAGGCAGAATGTGAACGATGCCCCCACCTTACCTCCCCCCACCCCACCTCCTCCCCACCCCCTAGTTTCAATCCACAGCCCCTGGGACGGCTGTGTCAGTTCTCAGAACCATCTTTTGTTCCCTGGCATTCACAGATAGAGCCTTCCTTGACAATCTACCGAGTGCCATACACCATTATGACAATGCCCACGAGGCACATGAGGAAACTGAGGCCTGAAAAATGGGAGTCATTTGCTCAAGGTCTCACTCCCAAAACCTCAATGCTTGGCAATCCTCCAGGATTGTGGGCAGGACAATGCCAGCAGGAGTTGGGGCACCTGAGGCTTCTTGGAATCAAGGAATTGCACCCCTTGGGATTACTCTCAGGGCAGGGGAGGGGGACAAAGTTGCTATGGCTGATGGGGGATGAGGGGAGGAAGTCTCCAAGAGAAGGGCAAAGCTAATGCTGTGACAGACGCCCGGGCCTCAGGGCTAGTTCCCAGGTCTGAGCCCGAGGGCGGGGAGCTGCGTTGGAAAGGCCTGAGAGGACAAGGCCAGGGAAGCCTGTTCTCAGAGCAGAGGTGGCTCAGCACGTGTTGATCCGGCATGAGCACCGTGCTAACCCCTGCTGGGGCGGCTCCCTGTCAATCCGCGCCCCCCCCTAGGGGGGGGCGAGGGGGGGAGCGAACCCGGCTGGAGCAGCCCAATCGGTGGGCGTGGGGGAGGCTGGGGCCCCAGAGGAGGATCGCCTACCCGCGCCCCAGGGGAAGGGTCAGGAGCCACTCCGCTGGAGGGGGACACAGGCCTCAGGGAGGGATGTGGGGGTTTGGGGAGGTTGAGGACACACTGTTCACAGCACACACGGACCCACAGGCACAAGCTCCAGATATGCACGTTGATATCGGATCTCTCTCTCTCTCTCTCTCTCTCTCTCTCACATACACACACACATACACATACACACACACACACCAAAAGACCCAGACTCCGAAACACGCCCGGAGACAGGCGATCGCTCCGCACAGAGACACAGGGACACACTCCACACACGGCGGTCCTGGCCGGCGGGAGGCCGCACAAAGTTGCGGAGTCCACCGAGGGGGTGTCCCGGGAGACCCCGTCCGCGGCGCCGCGGGCGAGCAACGGAGGGGGGACTGGGGGGGGGGCGACCGGGGCCCAGAGCCAGGCCCCGCTCCCGCCCGGACGCCGCAGCCCCGCCCGCGCCCGGCCCCCCCAGAAGCGCCCGCCGGCTCCGCCCGCCCCCCTCTCTGCCCTCGCGTCGCCTCCCGCCCGGCCCTCCCGCCACCGCCGGCGTCCCGCAGCCCCGGCGCCGCCGCCGACCAGCCCGCGCCGCGCGGAACTTGCGAAACAACCAGCCGCCCGACATGCCGGAGTCCGCGGCCGCGGGCCCGTCCTCCCCCCGAGCCTCCGGAGCTCCGGCCGCGCGGCGGGGAGGGCGCTGGAGGCGCGGACAACTTGTTCCAGGCCCGCGCCACACACGCACACACACGGGGAACACACACATGCACACGCACACACACTCACACATGCACACGCGCGCACACACACTCGCACATCCCGCCGCTGCCCCCTCGGCGGCCTGGGCCCTGGGCACACACCCAGCCACGGCCCAGCGCGCACCCCACTCCCCACATTCTCAGACGCGCAGCCGGCACACACGGGCACACACACTCACACCCGCTCCAGACACGCTCCTGCACACGCATTCCCGGCACACTCAGCATCCACTCGGACCCACCACCAGCCCCAGACACTCCCACACGTACACAGGGCGCGCGGACACACACGCTCCGGACCCGTTCCCACGCCTTCACACGCGTTCACGGATCTCACACGCACACACACACACCGCACACTCGTTCCCCGACGCACTCGCCGGTGGAATCCACAGAGCACACTCCTGGCCACAAGCTTAGCGCAAACACACAACACATTCTCAGACACACAACCAACAGCACTCCCTAGCGCGGCACACAGCATGCAAACAGATGCAACACCTAGCAAATACGACTCGGGCCACACAACCCAACTCAGAGGCACACACAACAGACACACAACCTACTTGGCTGCACAAACACTCAACGCTGGCGGACACACACACATACACACACACACACACACCGTCGGCGCACACATAATGCCTCCATGTACTCACTGTTCATCCCCGGGAACTCGTGGAGACACAACACACACACACCTTTTCTTGCACACCCATCTCATGGATACACAACAGTCGCAGGAGTCACAGGAGACCATGAGCACAGGATCGCACATCCAACACTCAGACACACACACACACACACACACACACACACCCGGGGAGCAGGCTCCTAACGCCCGGTCACCCAAAACTCACACTTTCTTCCGAGCTGCGCCACGGCCCGCGGACTCCGCAGAGCCAGCTCCGGGCGACCGACGCGCACTTACCTGCCGGAGTCTCGGTCTCGGGCGCGCAGAGCTGGAAGGTGAGCGCCAGCACCAGAGCCTGGGCGCGGGCCATGGTGCGCCCGCCGCCTTCTGCCCCGGGCCCGGCGCGGGGGGCGCCCCCGGAACCCGAGCCGAGCCCGAGCCGAGCGAGAGCGGAGCGAAGCGGCGCGGCGCGGAGCGGGACTGGCGCCGAGTCCAGAGCAGGAGCCCGAGCGAGCGGGGCGCTGACGTCAGGCCCGGCCGCGGGTTCCGCGGTCTCGGGGCGCCCCCTGCTGGTCGCCTCGCGTGCTGCCGCCGCCGGATCGGGTCTCCAACTGCCCCGCCGGCGCGCCCCTCCCCCATCCTGCACCCCGCGCCTGGAGGTCGGAGGCTGGGCCTGGGCACCACCCGAGCTGCCCTGAGCTGGCACCCACATTCCCAAGTGAGCTCGCTCGCTCAGTGCCCACGCCTACCTCTCACACAGCGCCCTCAGGGACAGAGACCCAAAGACACCCTGGGTCCGGTCCCGGCTGATGTCTGTTGCTTTCAACCCCTCTATCGAGGCCCCTCCAAATGCGCATTACTAGTACGTACCTTCCAGGACAGGAAGTTCATCACCTTACTTGAATGAGCGGCTTGGTCTTTGCAATGCTAACTGTTCGAGTTGGTCATAGTATTCATTATTCTCTGAGCACCCACGGGCTCTGTAGTGATGTCCCCTTCTCATTTCTGATCTTAGTCATTTGCGTTCTCCTTTTCTTAGCCTGGCTAGAGGCTTGCTGAGTTACTCACCTTTTCCAAGAACCAGCTTTTGGTTTGGTTGGTTTTTCTCTATTGATTTCCTGCTTTCCCTTTCACTGATTTCTGCTCTAATTTTTTTTTATTTTTCTTCTACTTCCTAATTGAATTGAATTTTCTCTTTTTTTCTAGTTTCCTAAGGCAGACGCTTAGATGGTTGATTTTAGATCTTTCTTCTTTGCTCATATAAACATTCGGTGCTATAAATTTCCCTCTAAGCACTGCTTTCACGGAGTCTCACAAATTTTAATGCCTTGTGTTTTCATTTTCATTTCATTTTCTTTTAGTTCAAAGTAGTGGGGTTTTGTTTTTCTAATCCTCACCTGAGCACATGCTTAGAGAAAAGGAGGGAGAGGGAAACATTGATTGTTCAACCGGGAATTGAACCAGCAACCTTTTAGCGCACAGGAGGACCCAATTTAGCCACTCTGGCGGGGCTATTTCAAAATAGTTTTACATTTCTCTTGAGATTTCTCCTTTGTCCCATGTACTGTTTAAAAGTATATTATTTAACCTCCAAGTAATTGGGGATTTTATAGCTCTTTTTGTTATTGATTCTAGTTTAATTCCATTGTGATCTGAGAGCAATCATTGAATAAGTTCTATTTTTCTGAATTTGCTGATATGTGTTTTATGGCCCAGAATGTGGTCTATCTTGAATATTCCACATGAGCTTGAGGAGGATGGGAGTTCTGCTGTTGTTGGCTGGAGCAGTCTGTACTAAATGTCCTCTATGTCCAGTTTACTGGCGATGTGGCGTTCAACTATGTCCTTCCTGCTTTTCTGCCTGCTGAAAATGTTCATTTCTCACAGAGGGATGCTGAGATCTTCAGCCATAAAATAGTGGATTCAGCTATTTCTCCTTGCAATGCTGGCTTTTAGAAGCTTCTTTTTCATTCTGCGAAGCCCATCTCCCTCACTAATTCTCGTTGGTTCTGGCCTACACTCTGGCTACACCGGTTAAGTATCATTTAGGCTTCTACGCAGCATAGGCCGGTAGAAGCCCTAGTACAATGACCACAAACTAGTTGTCCGTGACTTTGTAAGACCAGACACCTTCTATGTGCGTAACCCTCATGGATTAATTTAATCTTCACTTCTATTATTCCGACTAAACAGTTGAGAACATCGAGATACAGAGAGAGAGATGGGACTTTTCAAAGGTTCTGCATTAGTATGCAGCAGCACCAACATTTGAATCAAGGTCATCTGGCCTGAATTGATTTGGGGCCGAGACCTGCCTTCCATCTGGAACAAATCAGCAAATACTGGGTACTGATTCACTTATTCAACAATTGCTGTGAGTCAAAGTGGAGATATACAACAGACAAAAGTCCCTGCCCTCATGGAGCTTATATTCCAATGAAAAAATCAATAAAAATAAACAGCCAAAACCAGCAAATGTCCTGGTATATGAGACAGTGATATACCAGAGAAATGGGAGCAAGTCTGACAGTGAGGGAGAAGCAGGTTACTGCGGTTTTAAACAGAGCACCTGCTCTATGGCGTATTCATTATTTGTCTCCACACCTAGAACATCAGCTCCCTGAGGGCCGGGACTCTGCCACAGACCCAGTGCCTGGTATCCGATGTGTAGTTAGTGCTCAATAAATACTAAATTCAATAATTAACATAGACATTGTCCTTGTCCTTGCAAAGCTTACATTTTAGAGCGAGAGACCAATAGCAAACATGGGAAATAAATATATACTTACCATCTGAGGTGTGCACTCTAAAGGAAATGAATGGAGTGCTGTAATAGATGAGTGGATGGGGTGGAGGGATCTACTTTACTTAAGATAATCGGAGGGGGGGGAGGGATTCCCCAGCAAGTGACATAGTGACATCTGAGCTGATGCCTGATGTATGAGAAGGAGCTGGCCTCACACAGCCACTGGGGAGGAACACCACTGACGGAGAAGGCAGCCTGGGCAAAGGCAGAAGCTGGTGGGTTTGGGCAGCAGAGAGGCCATGGGGGCTGGAATGAGTGGGAGGAGAGGGGGCCAGGTGCAGCTGTAGAGGCTGGCAGGGCTGCAGGTCATGCAAGACACTATGGGGCTTTGGGCTAAACCCTGAGAGCAGTGAGAAGCCTTTGAAGCAGAAGAGTAAAACGTTCTTATGTCTCTTTAAATAATAATAATAATAATAAATAGCCCTAGCCAGTTTGGCTCCGTGGGTGGAGCAGACAGAAGGGTCCCAGGTTCAATTCCAGTCAAGGGCACATATCCAGGTTGTGGGCTTGGTCCCCAGTAGGGGGCGTGCAGGAGGCAGCTGATCAATGATTCTCATCACTGGTTCTTCTATCTCTCCCTCTCCCTTCCTCTCTGAAATCAATAATAATATCTTAAAATAATAATTATTAATAATAAGTCCCCTAATCAGCCAAATGGAGAGCAGACTGAGAAAGCAGATACCCCTGGATCTGGGCAGATGGGTCTAACTAGTGGCAGTGACATTGAAAGAGCCTAGGTGTGTCCAGGCCTTCCTGTGCACTGCCTCTGCTCCCTGCTGGCTCCGCACTCATGTTGGCACAACTGAGGTTGCCATGGCCTGGAGGAGGCAGGGCTGAGGACTCTTGGGCTCTTGGTCTCTTCCCTTATGGGCCAGGAGGTGGCCAAAAAGACAACAGGCAAGGACCAGAGACAGAGAGTTAACCAGCTAGAGAGTCACCGGGAGTGAGATAGAAGCAAGAAAAGCGAGATGGGAAAGAAATGGAGAGAGAGAGAGAGAGAGAGAGAGAGAGAGAGAGAGAGAGAGAGAGAGAGAGAAAAGACGGAAAGTACTACCCAGAAAATGAAACTCAAGGAAAGAAATCTGATGAACAGCAGTAACAACCAAGGATGGTGTTGTTTGCAGAGGACTCTTACAGGAGTCTCTGACAGGTGTACACCATTGATTCCACTTTTTTAGAGGTGGAAACCAAGGCTCAGAGAGCATAAGGTACCCACCAAAGGTCACATGGCTAGTCAATAGTGGGCCCAGGATTCAAACTGAGGCCTAACTGATGACACATACCTCCACTCTTGGTACAGGGGGAAGCCTACAGGGCAGAGACTGTGATGGAAGGAGAAAGAACACAAGCAACAGGTGGACAACTGAAAAGAGAACATTCTGCTTCACTTGAAAAAGACCACACACTTCATAATCCTAGAGAGAAGAGAGAAGAACCAGAAGAGGCCTGCCCCGGAGTGACCCAAATCTAAGGGAAAGGAGATGGCACCACAGGCAGGGCCAGGCCATGAGGAGATTCAATTACTTCCAACTCATGGAATATGCATGACACCTGCCCCATGCCAGGCCCCATATTGGGTGCTGGCATCAAGGAGATACACAAAACAGAGTCCCATGCTTGCCTGGAGGGGAACATGGGCACATGCATAAACAAGAGACCAGAGGCTGTAACACCTGTCCAGAGAAAACACAAAGGCAGCGGGCGTTGACTCAAGCTACGGTTTTGGAAAATAACATCAAAGAAATTATATGTGAACCTGGCATTTCCCGGGTAGGCAAGGCAGGGAAGAGCATATTAAGCAGGAGGAGCAGGTTAAATAAAGGCATGAGACATGGAAGTTCTTGGAAAGGTGGGTATCAGGTACGGTTGGATCATGGGCTGTGCGTGGTCCAATAGCAGGAGATGACAGTCTGGGAGACAGAGGGCAAAGGTCTTGAATGTGAGGCCAGAACAATTGGACTTGAACTCCTAGAGCAATGGTTTTCAAACTTGCCCCTTGAGGAACCCAGGTGTTCCTCAAGCCAAGTTGGGGGGAAGAGGAGTTACCACTGAATTAAAACCAGTTGTATTTTTCTAATTTGCAAGAAGGTAGATTAATTACAATGAATATAATTTTTTCTGTGTTTTCCCACATACATTTTTCTGAAGACTTTAGTAGGTGTCAGCAGTGTGAGAGAATCCTAGAATTAGCGTAGAATCATAGCTTTGTTTACCATTTAAAGTTTAATGTATCAATAGTTCATGGTGTTTTACAAAGAACTGTAGCTTCTGGGTTCCCCCTAAAAGAATTGGGAAGGCAGAAAGAGGAGAGGGGATCCCCATTAGAAAGAAGACTGCCGACACAGTTCAAACAAGAGCCGATGGCCTGAACCAAAAGTGATGACTATCAGGATGGGCAGGGCCTGAGTTCAGCCCCAAGGAGAGAGGCCTGCTGGTGATTTTCCAGGCTTCCTGGCTGGGCTGTCCATAATTCAGAGGAACTCATTTGGTTCCTGAAGATAATGTCAACAGCTCAAAGTCACCTAGGGAGCCTTACCACAACATCGACCTGTGTGAAAGCAGAAGATGAATGAGACTGGGTAGTGTGTGTGTGTGTGTGTGTGTGTGTGTGTGTGTGTGTGTGAGAGAGAGAGGAGAGAGAGAGAGAGAGAGAGAGAGAGAGAGAAAGAGAGAGAGAGAGAGAGAGAGAGAACGTGCTGTGTGGGACCAAGTGTTTCCCCCATGATGGGACACCAACTTTCTCTATAATAAAAGAAAGTACAGCCTTGACCCGTTTGGCTCAGTGAATGGAGTATCGGCTTGTGGACTGAGGGTCCCAGGTTCAATTCCGGTCAAGGGCATGTACCTCGGTTGAGGGCACATCCCCAGTGGGGGTTGTGCAAGAGGCAGCTGATCGATGTTTCTCTCTGATCGATGTTTCTAACTCTCTATCCCTCTCCCTTCCTCTCTGTAAAAAAAATCAATAATATATATTTTTTTAAAGAGTAAACATTTTTGTGAGCACGACCTATGAGCCAGACCCTAGTCTGTGTGTTTTACATGTGATATCTATCATTTAATCTTCACAAGAACCCCCCAGTAACATTCATCAAATGCTTTCATGTGCCAAGCATTCTTGTACTAAGTGCCTCAAGTGAAGTGAATAATATCTCACTTGATCCTCACAACAGCCTTGACACAGACTCTATTATGTCCTTCTTTTTAAGGATAAGGAAATGGAGACACGGAGAGGCCAAGTGAGTTGTCCAAAATCACTTTGAAGTAGTTTTAGAAAGAGGCCGAGCCAAGACTCAAGTCCAGATTTGCCAGAATCCAGCACCTACACCCATCATCACAGCACTTAGCTTTCCTCTCTTCCTTGGAGGAAAAACTCTAAGTTAAAAAGCTTTGGGTCAATAAAACCCAGAGAAATGAACTCTTCCTTATCTTTCACAGACCTGCCTCAGTGTTTCTCAAAGCCTGTTTCCTGGACCACCTGCATCCAAATATTCTTTTTTTTTTTAAATATAGTTTATTAATTTTTACAGAGAGGAAGGGAGAGGAAGAGAGAGTCAGAAACATAAATGAGAGAGAAACATCAACCAACCTCCTCCAGCACCCCCCCCCCACAGGGGATGTGCCCGCAACCAAGGTACATGCCCTTTGACCAGAATCGAACCCAGGACCCTTCAGTCCCCAGGCCGACACTTTATCCACTGAGCCAAACCGACCAGGGCTGCATCGAATATTCTTAAGAGCTTGTAAGAAATATACATACCTGGACCCCTCTCCAAGATTCTAATTCAGTGGATCTAAGATGAAACCTCAGATGGTTGTGATGCATATTGAAGATTTGGAGTCACAGGATTGGCTTCCTCAGCACCTTCTCCAAGATGCCCCCACCCTACCCCTATCCCAGACATGTCTCTTTGACTCCCACCTGTGCCTCTCTCATGTTCTTAACATTCAACTGGGTTTTAGGTATGCTTACGTCTCCACTCCACCAGAAACGTGAAAAATAGGATGTAGTGTCTTTATTGGGTTACATCTTTTTACAAAGAACTTCGATTGTCCCGTTTAATTCCTTTCTACACTGAGCTTTTTTAGAGGGGGGTCCTCCTGCTTGGGATCCCTCCCTTATACCTGAACACACTCAGCATTTTACAGGGTGCTCTCCTGTCCATATAACAGTATTCTATTGTTTCACCCAAGCCTCAAACAATCTTTTGTAAAATACTTTTATTGATTTTTTTAATATATATTTTATTGATTCTTCATAGAGAAGAATAGAAAGGGAGAGAGAGTTAGAAACATTGATGAGAGAGAAATCTCGATCAGCTGCCTCCTGCACACCTCCCACCGGGGATGTGCCGGCAACCAAGGTACGTGCCCCTGATGGGAATTGAACCTGGGACCTTTCAGTCCACAGGCTGACACTCTGCCCACTGAGCCAAACCAGTTTCGGCCTTTTATTGATTTTTAGAGAGAGAATGAGAGGGAGAGAGAGAGAAACATCTATGTGAGAGTGAAACATTGATCAGCTGCCTCCTGCATTGCCAGAATCAAGCCCTGCAACCCAGACATGCACCCTGATAGGGAATCAAACCCGAAACCTTTTGGTGCGCAGGAGGATGCCTAACCAACTGAGCTACAATGGCCAGGGCCCTCACAACAATCTTAAAGGAGTATTCTCTCCCTTGTTCCTATAAGGAAAGTCTCCGAGTTTCAGGCACTTGCTCAAGGTAGGAAGAGGCAAGGCTGGGATTTGAACTTAAATCTTCTAACTCCAAACCCAGTATTCTGGCCTCCACAGCAGCTTACTTGTACTCTACTTAAGGGAAGTAAGTTTTGCCTTCCTATACTATTAGGAGATAGTGGGAATTTGAGATAATGCCTTAAATGGCCTGGCACAATAACAAATGGTGGGGCCCAGCCCACATGGCTCAGTGATAGAGCATGGACCTATGAACCAGAGGTCACGGTTCCATTCCCGGTCAGGGCATATGCCCACAGTTACCGGCTGGCTCCCCAGTGTGAGGCATAAAAGAGGCAGTCGATCAATGATTCATTCTCTCTCTCATCATTGATGTTTCTAGCTCTCCCTCTTCTTTCCTCTTGAAATCAACAAAAAAAATTTTTAATGAATGAATGAATGAATGAATAAATGAATGGTGGGGAGGAGAAACTGAGGTCAGGGGAGGGGAAATGCCTTCCCCAAAATCAAACAACAGGTTGCAGACTGCAGACATAGCTTTAGGCCAGTCTCGGACGCTCCTTGGAAGATCAACGTTGGCAGGCTCCAAATCCCCGCGACTCCCGCTTTTCCCCCCACCGCGCGTCCCTGGCTTTCCCCAACCCCCTCCCCTCTGGCCCCCTCCCAATCCCTCTAGGCGCCACCGCGCGGGCAGCGGAAAGAGGAGCTGGCCCTTTAAAAGGAGCGAGGGGCGTGGTTACGAGGCGGGACGGGGGCGGGGCGGCGCGCCGTCGCGGGAAGTTGACGTCTCGGGGCGCCGGGCTGTGAGATCCTGGGGAGAACATGTGGGTCTGCGCGCTGTGGGAGGCGCGGACCCCGGCCCTGCTGCGGCGGCGGCGGCTGCTCCCGGCCCGGGGCCCCCGCCCGCCTGCCGCCGCCTCCTTCTCCGCGTCCGCCGAGGGCTCCCGGGTCCGGGCGCTGGTCTATGGCCACCACGGGCACCCGACCAAGGTCGTCGAGTAAGAGACCGCGCCGCAAAGGGGCTTCTTGCAGGGCTTTCAGACGGGCTGTGGGGAAGGGAGACGGGGCAGGGAGAGACTGGGTCCGAGGAAGAAGGTGGAGAATAATAGGACGGAGACTGAAGCCCAGGGTATGTTTGGTAGCTCAGAAAGTCCGTGATTCGAAGAAGTTGAAGATCCGAGAGGCACAAGTGTAACTGTCATAGTGGAGGACTATATGTTTATTGGAGGACTGTATGTGTGGGGCAATCCCTGTGGACATCGTCACAACCACCTCTAGGTAGGAACTAGATTTACCCCCACTTTTCAGATGAGAACACTGAGGCATCAGAGAGGTGAAATCACTTGCTCAAACTCACACATCATCCAAAAGGCGGCAGAGTTGACATTGGAATCCTTTCTGACTGACGGATCCGCCCACGTTCTTACCTTCCGTTACTTTTTGGAGGGCGGTGTTCAGAATACTTTCACACCTATTTGGATCTTCATTTCTCGGGCAAGTAGGTCAGAGATTATTGTTTCCATTTTACAAAGGACAAGGGACTTCTCCAAAGTGCCATACTAACACAGGTTGGAACAGGGGCAGGAATCCATGGCTTCTGCCACCTGGTCTCCTGTGATTTCCTGTCCGCTGTGCTGTGTGCCTTTAGTTACAAAGTGCTCCTATTTTGGAGCCAATACAAGGCCTGTTTGGCCTTAGGCAAGTCACTCTGCCCTGCTGAGCCCTCATTGCTTTTATAATTATGTCCTCCTAAAATTCTGTTAGATCTGAATGATTTTTGCATGTGACTTATAAAAACAGTGTATGAATGTTCAACCATTATAAGTGCCCATAAGTAACTAGAGGTATACCTCGTTTTTTGGTGCTTCGCTTTATTGCGCTTTGTGTTTTGGGAATTAGGCAAGACCCTATTACCACCAATAAGATTATGACTCGCTTCATTGCTATACTAGTTTTGTTGCATGATCTGGAATGGAACCTAAAATATCTTCTGTTTGGCTATCCAAAAGGGCTAAGTGGGGTCACGGTAGTGGGGCTATCAGTGAAAGCATTGATCTGTAAAACTTGTTTGGCAAGTTACTGAGGTTCTCTGAGCCTTAGTTTCATCATCTTTAAAAATGAAGACAATAGCCGAAACCGGTTTGGCTCAGTGGTAGAGCGTCGGTCTGCGGACTGAAAGGTCCCGAGTTCGATTCCGGTCAAGGGCATGTACCTTGGTTGCGGGCACATTCCCGATAGGGGGTGTGCAAGAGGCAGCTGGTCGATGTCTCTCTCTCATCGATGTTTCTAGCTCTCTATCTCTCTCCCTTCCTCTCTGTAAAAAAATCAATAAAAATATTTTTTTTTAAATGAAGACAATACAATCATAGCTCATAGCGCCAATCAGCTGAGCTCAATCAATCTAACACTTTCCACCAAAAAGCACCTACATCCTCTCCTGTAGTCCCTTGTTTACAACTCTGATTATCAGCAAATGGTTTGCCTGTTTTCCAGAGGATAGGCAAACGGAATTATTTTCATGATTAAAGTACAGACTAGAGTGCTCACTTCAGCAGCACATGCACTACACCTGGAATAGTACAGAGAAGATTAGCATGGTCTCTGCACCAAGATGGCACACACATTGATGAAGCATCCCACATTTTTACTTAAAAAAAAACAAAAAACAAAAACCCGAGAGATGTTTTGACAGCTCAAGGGGATAAGCCTCGGAGAATTTCAAGGTCATTCCCTCAGCCTAGCCACATCCACCATTAGAATATTGAGACCAAAAGAATTTTGAGAAGACTCATCAGTCAATAAACCCCAAACTGTATGTCCCTCATGAGTAATAAGTCACCAATAAACCCCAAATTGTATGTTGATCATGAGTAACATATTTCCATGAGGACTGTGCTGTAATGAGCTGGTAACACTCCTTTTCCAGGATTGCACCCCAAACAGGAACGATGTGGTGCCTCTCTCGCAGGCTTGTGATTTATGGGTCTGGTATAGGGCCTGCCACAAAACAGGTGCTCCAGACACGTTGTTAAATCTGTATCTGATTTCAGTGAGAAGTGCACCTTTTATTGAGTTCTGTGGCGATGAAGAAGGCACCTCCAGTGCTCAGGGACCTGCAGAAAGGCCCGGAAGGTTAGGCAGCTGAGTGCGGTTGTCTCCTGGTTGATCTCCTCCTCCCAGAGGGTCAGGGAAGCTGGAACAGACTTGTTGCTGATGCCACTGAGGGAAAAGGGATCACTGTCTTGTCTCCTTGTATGGAACCCTAGTAATTTCCCAGAAGTTCAAAGCATGATACTTGCGTAAAGCATTGCATTGGCCTTGGCTTCACATCTCAGTCACCTATGACACTTTTAGAAACTACATATCCCCACGCGTGACCCCTGAAGTACTTAGGAAGTCCAGGGAGGCCCTGGAATCTGTGTTTTCCCAGCTCTCCACGTGACTCTGATGTGCAGGCCTGGGCTGAGAACCTTTGTCCAGTAGATGTGGACTGTCAGGCAGGCGGGTTCTCACTCTGCCTGAGAATGGCAGCTTTCCTTTCTGACCCAGATTCAGGCAATTTGACGTGTTCCTGTATGGCCTGGAGCCAGAGGCTGGGATTCTCTTCTTTGTAGTCATGTCTTGGGAGGTTTAAGGTAACTGCGGTGTCACAGAAAGAATCAGGTGTCCTTTAAATACCCTAGTAACTGGGTATGTGGGTCAGGTTACACCAGGCATGGTCATGGAAGTACTCAGAGTCCAAGCAGACTATTCCCCAAACTCGCGTGGTTTGTGATGTTTGCTCTGTGGGCCGGGGCTCTGGGAACAGCAGGGAGGGAATGAGGAACAGTCTGCTCGGGTCCGAGGCGTGGTGGGACTTCTCAAAATGGGGCCTCCAGGGAGCTCCTGTTCTCATTTCGCCATTCTGAATGTCCTTCTCTTCCATTCTGGTGGCCCCCAAACTAAGCTCTTCCCTCCTCTACTAAGCCTTTCCCTGACATTTTATAGTTTCTTTCTTTTTCCCCCCAAAAAATTATTTCCTATATTCTTGGGCCTTTTTCATTTAAAGAATTGAACAGCTGATCTAAATGAAGTAAGAATGTGCAAGAGCCAAAACCGGTTTGGCTCAATGGATAGAGTGTCGGTCTGCGGACTGAAAGGTCCCGGGTTCGATTCTGGTCAAGGGCATGTACCTTGGTTGAGGGTGTGTGCAAGAGGCAGCTGATCAATGATTCTCTATCATCAATGTTTTTAACTCTCTATCCCTCTCCTTTCCTCTCTGTAAAAAATCAATAAAATTAAAAAAAAAAAAAAAAAAAAAAAAAAAAAAAGAAGAAGAAGAATGTGCAAGAGAGCCCAGCAGGGTGGTTCGGTTAGTTGGAGTGTTGTCCCATTCACCAAAAAGGTAACAGGTACGATTCCAGGTCCGGGTACATACCTAGGTTGCAGGTTTGATCCCAGTTTGGGGTACACATAGGAGGCAACCAGTTAATGTTTCTGTCTGCCCTCCCTCCCTCTCTCTAATACCAATTAAAAATATATATCCTCAGGTGAGGATTTTTGAAAAGGTGCAGGAGAAAATTACAACACGAGGGAGTGGCAAACGTTCTAGACATTTCAGAGGTCCCCAGGCAATTACCCCTCGTGAAGAGTTCCAGATTCTCTCACAATGATTTTCAACTGGTGTGCTGCAAAATGTTTTAAAACATGCAAAACCTGACTATTTAGTCAGGGGCACTGACCTCTTCTCCCTTAGATTATCAAATTAAAAAGAAAAAAATGACAATCACCAACACAATAAATAGCTGTCTGGTGTGAATAAATCAAAATTATACCTATATTTTTTGTCAAATCGGCAAAAAATAATTTTTTTGTGTGCTGCAGAATTTTAGTAATTAGTTTACGTGTGCCTTGAGATGATAAAGGTTGACAATTGCTGCCCTATCAGATAGTTCCCACGTACTCCGTTCCTTTTGTTCCTGAAAGTCCCCTTTCCGAATTTTGCATCCTCTTATGATAGAAGCTGCTCTCATTCATTCTATACCTACTATGTGGCAGGCATTGAGCTAAGCTCTCCAGATATATGATGGAATTTTAAACTCAATTGGGGTTTGGTCATTGTTATTCCCATTTTACAGACAAGATAACTGAGACTCAAGAAACTGGAAAGACACTTGTCTAAGATCAGACCACTAGGATGTGGCTTTATTAAAGTCCTCGTTATAGACATAGACCTGGAGAAGCAATGATGATCATCCCAAGCAAATAACATTGGGAATAAGACAGGTCAGAAGAGAAGAGGAGATTACAGGTCATTCAGGTGACCCCAAGTCTACCCTTCATAAGATCGGCAGGCCTTGTCGGAGGTTCCATTGGCTCCTTGGGCTGACCCCGGCGTCCCGTGCTCATTCCAGCCAAGTCTGTGCTTCTCTGACATTCTTGGTTCCGTTGGAACATTTCGGTGTAGAAGACACTGCGATGTGAATGCCCAAGAGAAAAGCCATTGAATGTGTGCTGGTCAGAGGACCAGTGGTACCACTTTTTAAAATAAACTGTCCTGCCCTTCAAAAAAAAGTAAATAAATAAGATCGGCAGCCCCACCCTGGGGAAGACAATAAGAATGTCCTCTGTCTCCTCCATTTTCCTGATCCTGGTCATCACAGCTTTCTCACCTGCCTGCTGCTGGCATACAATGTGAAACCCTTGGACACATACCCGGTCTGTTAACCAGATGGGATTTGGGGAGCAGGTGGTGGGCAGCCAGGCTGTGTAGGTAGTGAGTTCTCACTGTAGGGCACGGTTTGCTCTCAGGGGATCTCTTTGCAGTTGATGTTAGTGTTGAAAACCCAAACTATGCTGGTGACTTGGTTTTTTAAAACAGAATTCTAGTACTTTGAAAAATATTTAGCATTTTGGTTTGGCACTCTGTCGAAAACTGGGATTTTGTTTGTTTTGTCTTGTCTCCTGGAGCTCTTTATTGTGGTCATGTATGAAGGAGGGGGAACAAAACTCATTATTT